CCTGACATCCTTCCCTTCCCTTCCCTTCCCTTCCCTTCCCTTCCCTTCTTCCCTTCCCTTCCCCACCCTAAAGCCCCCATATATAAAGTCCCAGCTCACAACACGTGGGCGGAGATCTTTCTCTGACATCTTTACATCTTTCCCTTCCCTTCCCTTCCCTTCCCTCCCCTGACATCTTTCCCTTACCTGACATCCTTCCCTTCCCTTCCCTTCCCTTCTTCCCTTCCCTTCCCCACCCTAAAGCCCCCATATATAAAGTCCCAGCTCACAACACGTGGGCAGATTCCCTTCCCTTCCCTGAGGGAAAGGTGCCCCATGCAAAATAAATCTGTGTCCCGCTGAGAATTCCATCTGAGCCTCGGTGCCTCATCCATCCCCCCCAAACATGTGGGAGGAAACTTAAGAAACAAACTGGGGGCCTGGCTACTCTTGCAGAGTTCACAGGTTTGATACCCAGCACCCACATGGCAGCTAACAACTGTCTGTAAATCCAGTTCCAGGGGATCCAGCACTCTCTTCTGACCTCCACAGGATTTGCACAGCACAGATGCACCTACATACATGCAGGCAATATACACATAAAATTTAAAAATAAAAAAAATATTTTTTTAAAAAAAGAAACAGAGTGGGAGGTGAGGGGGTAGGTACTGAAGGTCACTCTCTTGTTACTGCCCAGCCTGCTGCTCTTTGGACAAAGGAATAGGAAAAAAGAAAGGAAGGGGAGGGAGGGGAAAGGAAGGCAGGAAGGCAGGCAGGAAGGAAGGCAGGAAAACTCAAACAAGAGCCAGAAATAGTGGTACGTATCTGTAATCTCAGCACTGAAGGAGCTGGGACAGGAAGATTACAAGTTTGAGGTCATGCAGTTTGGACTACATGGTGAATTCAAGGCCAGCAGGGATTACATAGCAAGACCCTGTCTCAAAAATAATAAAAATAAATAAATAAGGAAGGACAGGTGGAAAGAGGGAGGGAGGGTGAACATCTGGAGAGGGAAACGGCTAGGGAAGAAATGGGAGTCAGGCTTTTCATATCATCAGAAACAACGTACCATAGGTACCCAGTGAAAAAGTAAAATTTCATTGCAAAAACAAGAGCCAACCAGTGATATATTTATTATTCCAAAGTATCTTGAGGCACTTCCTTTTCAGGGTTTGGTGCAGAAGGAGTGAAAATCCACCAAGGTTCTTTGAAGCCCTAAGTGCATGAGCTGCTCTGCGTTTTTCTGGGCCACAGCCTGGCAGGAAGAGTTTGCAAGGTGGCTGGCTCACAGAGACTCTTTCCCATTACAGTTTCCTGGATGCCAGACAGTACATCAACTATTTTTTTCCTCACGACTCTGCAAGGAAGATGTTGATGATCTGTCTATATGAGACGAGAGGAAGCCAGATAGATGGCAAAAAATAGATACTAAGCCAATTCTGGTAACTTCTAAAATCAACTTTTTTTAAGAAAGGAAATGCCACTTTCTTGGGATCTGTGTTTTTTCTTCCATCCAGTCCCCATATAAAGCAAATGTCACTTCCTCTATGGGCAGAAGGAAAGGAAGCAGAAGCCACACGATTGGAAAGTGTGATCAGGGCAAGAATGATAAAGCTTTAAGGAACAGAAAATGGTGGATTTTTTTTTTTCTCAAAAAATATGGAAAAAGTCTCCATTACTTAGGCACAGGCTTGGCTGTGCAAGGCATTCCTTTATCTCCACTCCCCTGTTTAGGCCAAATAACCTTAATCTAGTCAATAAATACAGGAGCTCCCAAGGGACTAGAATGCAGTGGTGAACCACGCAAGCACCCATCCTTGGAGGCCTACCCTGGAGGCTCTTTTCCACCTCAGTCCCCACTTGGTTTAATAGGGTACGGTCTGGACAGCACCAGCCAAAGCAGAAAGTCTGTACTAGAACTTGTAACCGTGATATGGGCCAAATATTTTGGCCTCTCCCCCTGCCTCAGTTCCACCTCTGTAAAATGGAGATGATTTTAATAATAGCTATGTCAGGGTGGAGGGTTCCATAAAACAGAATATGTAAAAAATCTTTTGTTTTGATATTATTATTATTAAATACACACTGTGTCTATATCTTATTGTCCAGAGTTCCCAGCATCCAGAATAGTACCTAGCACATAGTAGGCACTGAATACGTACTTGGTGAGTAAAGGCAGATATGAAATGACCAGCATTTGGAAATAGGATCAGGTGGATCTTTCCACGTCAACACGGAAAATCTACTGTGTGCTGAGAGCCACCAAGGGACACTGCAGGTCAATCTTGGACTTGCTTGACACAGATGTTCAGGAGACGCTAAGGCTGGGATGTGGCTTAGTGGCAGAGCATTTGCCTAGCATGGACGAGGCTGTGGTTTTGAGCTCTAGCGCTGAGAAAAGAAATAAAAACACAAAAAGATCCGGAAGAGGAGATGCTTGGTATAAATTCGTTTAAGAATGGACGCATGAAATCAATGACCTTGAAGGCTGTCCAGGGTGGAGGCCGCAAACGCACATCCGGAGAGTGGGCGCTAGAGGGCGCAGAGCGCCGAGGGCCTCAGCCCCTCCGGAGTTACAGAGGCGGAGTTGTAGAGCGGGCGCAGTGCAGTGACGTCACTTCCGCATGCGCGGCTGTCGTTTGCAGGGCGGGTCTGGACCGGAGTTTCTCAGCCGGCTGAGTAGGAGTTTCGAGCCTTGAGATATTCTTGAAGCGCGGGGAGGTCAGGGGCGCGGCTGTTTCCAGAGAGCCGCCTACGTCTGCCGCGCTGGGGCGGCCTGCCACGCGCGCCAGGTGCGCATGCGCAAGGCGGGGTGGCGGCGTGGGGCCACTGACCTGGCTGAGGACCGTCACTCCGTTCGGTCCTGTGTGGCCTGCGGTCCCGGTCGCCAAGAACCGATCGGACCGTGTGCAGGGCTCACTGCCGTCGAGGTGGCGCCGAGTAGATGGAGGGTAATAGAGAAAGGCTAAAAACTCAACTGTTGCAGCGGGGTCTTGAGCTTCTTAAATGATTGCAGTTCCAGAGTCTTATACGTTGCACGCCGACATCGTGCACCCCTGTCTCGGGGTGGACGTATTGTGGGAGGCAGGAGAGGGAAGTAGGAATAAAGAATAAGTGAATTCTGCAGTTATGTTAGAAAGTGGTAAATGCTAGGCGGAAGTAGAGCAGGGACTGAGAGGTACCGTAACAGGATGCGCACTGGGCCGCCTTGAGCCAGAGTACGCAAGCTAGATAGAGTGATCCTGGTGGCCACCTGGAGGAAGGGCATGTGCCGGGAAGGGAGAGTGAGTTCCCGAAGTGGAAAGAGCCCAGATGTCGGCGTGAGACTTGTATGTGAGAAAGACCTGAGGGACCTGCTTGAGGAGGATTGACTCTAAGGAATGGCAGGACATGCGATCAGACTAGTGCGATCCGGTAGGGATTTGCAGGCCACTGGAAGGACGTCGACCTTACTCTAGATAAAATGGGAAGTCTTGCAGAGTTTGATCAGGATGCTGATGTGGCTTACTGGCGTCTGTATAGATTATTGGGAGGCTTTCGAGCGGAAACCGAAGTAGGAGACATTTGCCAATAAGATGTTTGTGAATATCCCTGTAATTACTAAAAAGGGTAGCTTAAAAACCAACCCCCAGAGGATTTATTTACTTTTATATTTATGAGTGTTTTGCCTGTCTGTAGGTGCACCCGTGCATGTAGTGCTGGCAGAAGCCAGAAGAGGGCACTGGATTTTCCAGGAACTGGAGTTAACAGATGTTTGTTAACCACCATGTGGATGCTGGGAACTCAACCTGAGCCCTTTGTGAGAGCAGCCAGTGCTGATAACTGCTGAGTCATGTTTTCACTACCATGTTCCTTCTTAATTGTGGTGGCTTAAGCCTTGGCAATGCATCCATCAAGTAGGCAGCTGGCAAAGCCTTAAACATCTGCCCCGTGCCAGGTGGTGAATGAATGAAGTAGATGAAGTTCCTGTTCTTGCTAGTTCTAGTAGAGATGGTGGCTGGGCCAGGGAAAGGAGCATCAAAATTGTTGCTGGTGTCCTGAAGCCAAAGATACACCTGTGAGCCCACAAGCCTCCTGTACCCTATTCCCTCCGTCGTACATTCAGTGGGACACAGAAAGGAGGGATGGTTGTTGAGTGGGTGGGTGGATGTAGCTCCTTGAGTCCGTCTTTTTCCTGGAGGGGAGAGTGGTTGGAACTGGGTCTGGTCCAGAGAGCTTTTGAAAATGTTCCACAGCCATGTGACTTTGGGCAAGAAATACGTTTTCTTTGGGCCTCAGTTTCTTGGGCCCAGTGACAGAGATTACTTAATAAACAAACAACAGGGAGCAGGGTGTCGGCCTCCCAGGAGGAGACATTGGAATAGAAATGGGAGCGTCCAGGAGGAGAGTGAGGTAGAAGTAGAGCCAAGGAGAGGAATTGTTTGTAGGGGATCAGCACACTGGAAGCTCTGTGTGAATGTCATTGAATGTGGGGTGCTGTGGTGCTCACTTGTAATTCCAGCACTGGAGGCTGAGGCAGGAGGATCAAGAGTCAGAAGCCAGCCTGGGCTATATAGCAGGACCTTCAGTGCCCCCTTCCTTAAAAAAAGGAGGTGGGCATTGGAGTTCCTGTGTTAGTCTGTGCACTATTGCTAATAACATCACAGGCTGGGTAAATTATAAGCAAGTTTATTTGGGCTTATAGTTCAGGTGCAAACTCAAGGGGCTACATCTAGTGATGGGCTTCTTGCTAGCAGAGTCTCAGTACAGTGCAGAGCATTGCAGGACAAGAGGCAGGAAGCATGTGCGTCTGTGTCCTCTGGCCTCTTACAAAGCTACCGGGGTGATGACCTTATGTAATCCTAACTCCTTCCTGAAGGCCTCACTATGAACACCATGGTTGAATTAGGTCGGCACCCCCTTAATACCTCACTGAAGATTAAACTTGCGCATGAGTTTTTGTTTTTGTGTTTTGGCAGATCAATAGCACATTTAAACAATTCAAAGCACATTTAAAGGAGTGGGTACCCTTCTAGGAGCTCCTCTTTTCAAATTCCTTGCTGTTTAAGCTCAGTCCTTCATGGTGCTGCCAAATAACCCTACACAGAGCTGGTTCTGTGTACTGGAGTCCCCCTCACCCCCTTTCTTTTCTTTCTCCAGTACTGAAAGGAAGCCACACTCCACATTGGAATTTCTACTGGGGCTGATTAGCTGACTAGAAATGTCCATGGTTGTAGAGAGGTTGGAATGCTGCAGGTCCAGAGCCTAATTACAGTTTTTCTTGGGCTTATCTTTAGCTCCCTCAAACAAGCACTCCTTGTACATCTCTGTATCTGACCTAACATCTTAAGACTCAGGTGAAACTTGTGATGTATTAACCTAGCAGATCACTGTGTGTCCCCCCCCCCAAACAAAAAAGTATGTCATTAGACAGCATCTGAAACCTGTAGCAGAGGTTTCCAGCTTTGCTATAACTTGCCTACCTGATACTACCACCAATATATTTGAAAAGTATCTTGATTTATGACTTTCCTTGTTCTGTTACTATAAAAACTTCAGGAAATAGTTACCACTTGGAACATGGGATTTGGGGTAACCTAAATCTGTGTTCCAGGGTCATAGTTACTCATATTTGGCTCCAGAATAAACTGTCTCTCATCCCCTTTGAAGTGAGAGCTGTTTATTGCCATAGCACTAGACAAGCCCCCTGCCACTGAGCCATATCTGCAACTAGAGATCTGGTTTCTGGACTGAGAATAGCAACTTAGGGGAGAGGACAGCAAAAGGACCTCCCCTCCTGGTCTGTGTTGACAGTAAATGAAAAGGTAGCCTTCAGGTCCCAGGTTTTACTTCTTTATGTCTTTCCTTTGGATGATGGGTGGTCTTTCAGGAGTATAATCAGAATTGACTGGAATCAGGTTGCCCCTGGGCAGGTGTTATTATTGAGAATGATAGCTTTCACCCCATAAGATCATTTTGAAAACAAACTGATGCATGTGAAGCACTCCATGCATGTGAAGCTGGGTACTCAGGAAGTTAGCCAGGATTGCTACCAGGATTTAAGGAAGAATACAGTGATCTGGCATATTTAAAAATATAGGCGCATGAGGCTGGAGAGATGGCTCAGCAGTTAAGAGCACTGGCTGCTCTTGCAGAGGATCTGGGTTCAGTTTTCAACACCCAGATGGTAACTTACAGCAGCCTGTAACTCCGGTTCCAGGGGATCCAACAACCCTCTTCTGGCCTCTGTGGGCATTGCATGCATGGGTGTACCTACGTGCAAGCAAAACACTCATAAAAAATAAATGAATTTTAAAAATATAGGGACATGCTTGCCTGTCCTGCACCACATTCTAGATTTGATCCTCAGCATCCCACCAGCACCAAAATGCCCTTCTTTTGTATCCCTTGTTAGACCAGTCCACCTCCTTCCTAAAGAAACAAGGAAATTCCTTTGTATCTTCAAGGATAGCCATTGTCTGACTTTGTCTGACTAGAATTGGGAAAATTACTGAAATAGAGGTCTTTTGGGGGGGGGTCTTTTTGAGACAGGGTCTCCCTGTAGCCCCAGCTGTCCTGGATTCACCATGAACAGGCTGGGAAGTCACAGAGATCTGCCTGCGGAGTGCTGGGATTAAAGGCGTGCGCCACCACGCCTGGCTGTGAAATAGAGGTCTTTTTAAAAATCAAATAGGCTGGATGAGGTGGCATTCCAGCTGGTAATCCCAGCCTTCCCTAGAGAGGCAGGAGGGATCCGGAGTTCGAGGTCAGCCTTAATTACATCGAAAGTTTCACACCAGTATATCTCAGAAGAAAAGAAAGAAAAAAGAAGAGAAAAAAGTCGAATAGGCTAAATTCACATTAAGAATATGAAAAATAGCCAGGCGTGGTGGTGCATGCCTTTAATCCCAGCACTTGGGAGGCAGAGGCAGGTGGATCTCTGTGAGTTCAAGGCTAGCCTGGTCTACATAGTTCCAGGACAGCTGGGGCTACAGGGAGACCCTGTCTCAAAAAAAAAAAAGACCAAAAAAAAAAAGAAAAATAACTTGTGCCTTGGTAATTAGTAGCCCCTTTACCTTCCTATAGGTGATCTGCCTTGGAAAAGATGCCAGCTCCAGCCACTGCTTATGAGAGGGTAGTATACAAAAATCCCTCGGAGTACCACTACATGAAAGTCTGCCTGTAAGTTCAGTCTTCTAAGTTCTTTTTCAATTAATTTTCTTTTAAATTTTGTGTATATGGGTGTTCTACCTACATGTATGTAAGTGCACCCATGTCATGCAATGCCTGTGGAGGCCAGAGAGGGTGTTGGATTGCCTGGAATTGGAGTAATGGACAGTTGTTATATGCCATGTGGGTGCTGGGACATGAACCCAGGTCCTCTGCAAGAGCAACTAGTACTCTTAACTGCTGAGCTATCTCTCTAGCCCCCTCAGTTCTGTTTTAGATTACCTTTAAAATCAAAAACTGAAAAGCATGATATTTTATGGGTTTTTTTTTTTTTAATATTTTTTACAGGGAATTTCAAGAACATGGAGTTGGACTAAATGCAGCCCAGTTCAAACAGCTACTTGTTTCAGCCCTGAAGGACCTGTTTGGGGAGGTAGGAGTCACTTGGTAGATTAACATTCTCCAGGTCTTTGTAAGAAATACTGAAAAGAGACTAATAGTTCAGTGGTAGAAAGGTTGCCTACCCTGTGGCACATGCCTGTCATACCAGCAGCTGTGATTCCATCACTGGGAAGTGGAGGCAGGAGGTTAGGAGTTCAAGGAAAACCTCCACTACATATCCAGTTGGAAGTCAGCTTGAGCTACATGACACTCTGTTTAAAAAACAAAGAAAAAAGAGAAGAAACACTTTTTAAGAAATATAGAAATACCTTTTTTTTTTTTTTTTTTTTGGTTTTTTTTTTGAGACAAGGTCTCCCACCTGGCCTAGAATTCACTATGTAAACCAGGCTGGCCTGGAACTCACAGAGATCCTCCTGCCTCTGGCCTCCTCTGCCTCCCGAGTGGCAGGACTAAAGGCTTGCGCCACCATGCCCTGCAGCTTATCTCCCCCAAGGAGAGGAACCAGAAGAGAGACTAGATAATTTGTTTTCATTAAAATCTAAAAACAGTTTTTTTTTGGTCTTTTTGAGACAGTGTCTCCCTGTAGCCCTAGCTGACCCCTGGAACTCTATGTAGGCCAGGCTGACTTTGAACTCACAGAGATCTGCCTGCCTCTGCTTCCCAAGTGCTGGGGTTAAAGGTGTGCACCCCCATGCCTGGAAGAAATATCAAGAAATACCATTTTTTAAACTGAACCTGAAATTACTGAAGCCAACTTTCAGAAATGATGAATTCTAGTGGGTTTATTCTAATGTACCTTGTGTTTGACAAGGAACTTATTAGACCAGTGTTTTCTCTAGCATAATGCTATCAAACTATGGTCTAGTCAACCAGCAAACATTTATTGGCCATCTTGAAAACATAAGGGGTTCACCTGAAAACTAGCACCCCTTCCTTTAGTGAGAAAGTCTCATTATAAAACAATGTGAAGGGACTGGAGAGGTGGCCCAGCAGTTAAGAGCATGTACTGCTCTTCCAGAGAGCTTGAGTTGGTTCCCAGCAACCATACCAGGCTGCTCACAACCACTAGTAACTCCAGCTCCTGGGGGAGCCAGTGCCTCTGACTGCTGCAGGCACCTGCACTCACATGCATGTACTCACACACAGACACACACATATACACGTAATTTTTTTAATCTTTAAAAAAAATTTTTTAAAACAATGTGAGGGCCAGCAAGATATCTTAATTGGACCTAAGTTTGACTTCTGGGATTTACATGGTGGAGAGAACAGACACCTGCAAGTCATCTTCTGACCTCCACACACATGTGCATTGGTACATATATACATATACAAACATATGTAAATAAATGTAATAAAAATGTAAAACAATGTGAGCTGTGCTCAGTGATGTTGATTGACATTCTGACATTCTGAGGCAGCTTCTTATCCCATCACAGACCAGCACTTGGAGCAGCTTTGTCTTAGCATTCACTTAAGAAAAGCAGAGGTTTGGAAACTGGGGGGAAACAAAGGAGTCTCAGGAAATTATTTCCCGACTTATTTATTCTATTAAAGTTTGCCACATACCTTATCAGAAACTTAAACTTTACAAAGACTGTGTTAAGAAGGTAAAAAGATGAGTTAAAGTGGGGAGAAAAATTTGGGGACTATGTATCTGAGGAAGAAGTATTACCTAGAATATTATAAAGAATTCTGAAAACCCAGTTGGGACCCACATAGGGAAAGCCAGTTCCCTCAAGTTGTCCTCCATCCTCCACACACATGCCATGGCGTGCAGTTGTGTACATACATGTGCACGCACATACACACAGAGTAAATGAATATAAAATAAATTTTTTAAATCTACACATAAGGGGCTGGAGAGATGGCTCAGCAGTTGAGAGCACTGACTGCTCTTGCAGAGGACCGGGTTCGAGTCCCAGCACCCACATGTCGGCTACGAACCGTCCTCAACTCCAGTTCCAGGGGAATCCGACGCCCTCTTCTGACCTCTGCGGCACTGCACGACATGGGTGCACTCACAAACATGCAAACAATACACTCATACACATAAAATAAAAATAATAAATTTTTAAAAAACTTACAGATAAATGTTTATTGTGTCCTCACTTGTAATAACTAAAAGCTGAAAACATGGCAGTTGTCCTGTGTGTGAACTGTTCAGTGATAGTACTTTCGTGCCATGGAATACAGTCATCAGCATGAAGAGCAGTGATGACATGAATCTCCAGAAAAATAGGCTGAATGGAAAAGGCCAGCTCTAAATAACTTACAAGCTAGGTGATTCTGTGTATATAATGTGCTTGATCCAAGATAACCTGAAGAAAAATTAGTGGTTACCAAGGACTAGGGATGGGAGGCAGAGTGGATGTGGTGAAAAAGGACCATGTGAGGGAGTCTTGGGATACAGTTTTTTATCTTGGTTTACAAGAAGTCACTGATGTGGAAAAATTACATGGAACTGCGCATACATACAAATATAAATGCAAATATAACAGTAAAATTCTGGATTATATCAATACCCGTGGCTTTGATCCTATACCATGGTTATCAAGATACTGCTGTTGGGGGAGCCTGAGTGACAGTGCATGGAACTTCCCTGTAGATTGCCTTGCAATTGCCTGTAAGTCTTTACTTTTTCTAAATGGCAAGTATTTTTCTTTTGTTTTTTGCCTTACTATGTAGCTCTGGCTGGCCTGGAACTTGCTATGTAGACCAGGGTGGCCTCAAACTCACAGACTGCCTGCCTCTGAGTGCCAGGAGCAAAAATTTGTGCCACTATGCCCTGGAAAAAAAAAAATCCGCATTTTCTTTCTTTTTTTTTTCAGGGTCTGTGGGTTGTGGTTTTTTTGAGACAGGGTCTTACTGTGCACCCCTGGCTGACCTAGAACTCACAGAGATCCTCCTGCCTCAGCCTCTAGGATGTGGAATTAAAAGCATGTGGCACAGCACCTGGCTCTGTGCACTTTTCTGTGTGTCAGGTAAAATACCTGGTTTGGACATAACTGTAGGTAAGCAGACATGGTCTCTGTCTCATAGGCACATAGTCTTGATTCTTGCCGTAGGAAAACTTATTAGCAGAAGCTGAGAATTATGAAAGAGGAAGGTATGGGGTCTTGAATAAGAAAGCATAGCACCTGGGAGTGGTGGCCCAGCACTCGGGAGGCAGAGACAGGCAGATCTCTATGAGTTGTGAGTTCAAGTAGATCTTGGGAATAAGGGAAGGAACATTTTCTCCCATTTATTTGCTGAGTATGTGCATGTGTGCGTGCTTCTGGGCACGGAATGGAGGTAAGAGGACAACTTGCGGGAGTTGGTTCTCTCCTTCCACTATGTGGATCCTAGGGTTTACTCTTGGGATCAAGCTTAGGTCATCAGGCTTGCTTTACCCGGTGAACTGTCTCACCAGCCTGAGAATGAACATTTTAAACAAAGATTCAAAGGGTAAGGAGGGATCAACTTTGTGAAGAGAGATAGGAACATGCCAGACGGAGCTGTAAGCAGGCTCCTGAGAGTACTGGCACCATTAAATGAGATACTGGTCTTTGTGTGTGAAAAGCTCAGAAACAGAGCTTATTAGAGTCCAGAAGTAATGGTAATGGTCTGCTGATAGCATTATCCGCCCCTAGGTTGGTGCTGCCTTACCTGTGGACGTCCTAACCTATGAAGAGAAGACCTTGTCTGCTATCTTGAGAGTAAGCAGCAGGTATGTCAGGGAAGTGTTTCTAGAGCCACAGGGCGGGGATACTGTTGGAGCACAAAGCACAGGTGCTTGCTCCCAGGATAAGAGTTTGTGGTTGTGAATTCAGAGCCACTTTGAGGGGATTTAAACTGGGATGATTTGGGACTTCCTCCACCAGGGAGTTATTAACTGTAGACAGATCCAAACTTGTGATTTGAGTCAGCCAGATTCTCAGTTGACGGGTTATGATTTTAAAGTCAGAAATGTATGTTTCAGAAATATTCTTGGATTCATTTTGCTCTCTGCTTGTGGTATATTATGCTCTTCTAAGGGTTTTTTAAAATATTTAAATAAGACTTCTGGTAAAAATTTTCTAAACTATCATAAGCAAAAGTACTAGGGAAATATTGCAGGAGAAATCTTCATTTATGCTTTCTTGATCTTTATGCAGTGGTCTGGTCAAGCTGTGGAGCTCTTTGACCTTGTTAGGATCCTATAAAAACAAGAAGTGTGCCTTCCGAGTGATTCAGGTAAAGGCTTGTCCTTCACAATTCCAGTCAAGTTCAAGCACTGGAGCAACGGCTTTTTAAATGTGTATCTCAGTCTTGTTCTTGAATAAAGCTAATGTAGTTAACATCTAGCAAGGAAAACAAAGCACAATACACACATAAAAACCCCCAGGACTTTGTTGCTTCAAAATGTGAGACAAAGTCATTAGAGTTTAGATCTAATGGGAGATGCTTGGGGCTCAAACATGGAACCCCTGTGATCAGGCTTTATATTTAAAAGCTTACCCTTAGTGTATTACAGATCGGCATGCTTTTGCCAAGCCTATGATTACTTGTTTATAGTCAGTGCTGCCTCTTTTTTTTGGTCTTTTTGAGTCAGGGTCTCCCTGTAGCCCCAGCTGGTCTGGAACTCACTATGTAGACAGGGCTGGCCTCGAACTCACAGAGATCCACCTGCTTCTGCCACCTGAGTGCTGGGACCATGCCCAGCTCCAGGATGTGCTTTAAACTGCTTTTGCCCCAGTTTTGTGCTTCCTGTAAAACCCACGTTTCGGTGTTGCCCATTGTTTTGGTGCGTCTTCTCCCAGTATTGAGTTAGCCTTTCTCTTTCTCTCACAGGTGTCTCCATTTCTCCTTGCATTATCTGGCAATAGTAGGGAACTGGAATTGAATTGAATAGTCTTCAGTTTCAGAAACTTTGCTCTGCTCTCAGAAGTATTTTTTGGTGCCTATATAATTTGGAAACAAAAACAGGCCAGAAGCTCCTGTTGATGACATTTGAGGTGCTGAAGATGTTCCCTGTGATTTCCAGCCATCGGCTCTGGAGTAGACTTCAGAGGAGCCTCCGCCTAAACCATCTGGTGCCAACAGGGCAGCACTTTCAGCACTTGCACGTGAGAGTTGGAGATCGCGCTGAGCTCAGCAGAGCCTTCACACAACAAGATGTTGCTACCTTCTCAGAAATAACGGGAGATGTCAATCCTTTGCATTTAAGTGAAGAGTTTGCAAAACATACCAAATTTGGAAAGACAATTGTTCATGGAGTTTTGATCAGCGGACTTATTTCGGCCCTCCTAGGTACTAAAATGCCAGGGCCAGGCTGTGTATTTCTTTCCCAGGAAATTAAATTTCCAGCCCCTTTATATATTGGAGAAGTGGTTTTAGCATCTGCAGAAGTGAAGAAGCTGAAGCGGTTTGTTGCTGTTATTGCAGTGTCCTGTTCTGTGACAGAAAGTAGAAAGACAGTTATGAAGGGCTGGGTTAAAGTTATGGTCCCAGAATCTCCAATATCCTGAGATGCAAGTTGCAAGTTCAAACACCAGTGCTCTTGTTATCAAAGAGCATCTGGGAAAACTGGGCTGTTGCTCTTCATGAAGGAATGGCTGGTAGGCCCAGAAGCCATGTGAGAAGAGGCACAAGCAAAGGAGGTTGTATTCCAGTGTCCTCTTTCCAGTTTGGCTTCATGCCTTACCCAGACCAGTACATGCAGGAGTTCATCATCTGTGTAGGTTTTTTCAATTAAAAAAAAATTTTTTTTCAAAACATATATGTATATTTTAATTTCAGAATTTCAAACCTAGCTAGGTGTGTATTTGGTAACACCTACCTGTGTCTGTGTCAAGTAAGTTTCTTATTGCATGTATACTCCCAAGTGTTTGATTACTAAAGGCAATGGCAGAAGGTGGGTCATCTTTGAACACCTACTCTTTACTAGTACATATCTTAGACCCTTTTCTCAACTGTTTCTGGGCTAGTGTTTTAACTCCTTACTATTTACATCAAGATGTCAGCTTGCTCAGTTTCTGTGGACTTGCCTTTCAGGTGGTTTTTGCTGTTATCTGAGAAGGGTTTATGCAGAGCCTTGACTCGCTTGTGTAGACGCTGCCTCATAGAAGATGGTGATAGCATACTGTGCAGCGTTGTTGGAAAGAATAGAAACAGAGTTAATCACAAGGCCTGACCTGTAAATAATCACCACTATCTGGCCCTCTAACCCCCAAATAAGTGAGGGTAGGTAGGGGTTTTCCTGAGTTTAAAGCTGGCAAATCTACAGTTGAATAGGTCAATAGACCAGTCTTTCAGGATGTCAGTTAATCTGTTATATCTTAAATTTAGGATGGACTCCAGAATGCAGAGGCCCGATTTTAAGGATTCATATTCTTTTCTCCTTCCCTTGAGAATGTGGGTCTACCTAACATAAGAATGTGTTTTGGGGCTGGAGAGATGGCTCAGCAGTTAAGAGCACTGACTGCTCTTGCAGAGGACCCAGGTTCGATTCCCAGCACCCACATGGTGGCTACAAACCATCCTTAACTCCAGTTCCAGGGGAATCCGAAGTCCTCTTCTGACCTCTGAGGCATTGCTCTACACTGGTGCACTCACATACATGCAGACAATACATATAAAAATAATAAATAAAAAAAGAATGTGTGTGTCTAGAGACACTAACTTTACATGATAGGTCTTAACACAAATAACAGACTGTATGAACTCCATTGGGGGAGTTTATGGGAGGGGGCCAAAGGGGAAAGGGGTATAAAGATGATTTTCTGTATGAAATAGACAATTCAATAAAATTTTTTTTAATGTGTGTATATGTAATAAAAAGTATAAGGCAGACCATGGAGGTCAAGGTTTTAAGTTTGGGGGGAATTGGGAAATGTGCCTAATGCTCTAGTATTACATAATGAACCTCAACACATCTGTGCTCAGTAGGTTTAAATGGTAACTGATTGCCAGGTGTGGTGGCGCACACCTGTAGTCCTAGCACTCGGGAGACAGAGGCAGGTGGATCTCTGTGAGTTTAAGGCCAGCCTTGAAAGCAAGTTCTGGGCCAGCTGGAGCTACAGGGAGACCCTATCTCAAAAAGAGCAAAAAAATAAAAAATAAAATGGTAACTGACTATAGCTAGATGCTTTGATAGAAGGTAATGCAGAATGACATCATGATAATCACGTACCTATAATTCCAGTACTCAGGAGGATTGGGAATTTGAGGCCAGCCTGGGTTACATAGCAAGACTCAAAGCAAAACACAGGGCACATGTGATTGGCTCTTCCTGGAAAAGGGATATTTCTCCTGGTAAGTAACCAGATTTTTGTGTGCATGTACATGTGTATGCATGTAGAGGCCAAAGGTCACTTCAGGTGTCATTCCTCAGACATAGTTCACTTTGTGTACTATGTATTTGAATGTTTGCATGCATGTATGTATGTGCACCACATTCATACCTGGTACCTATGGAGGCCAAAAGGGCATTGGATCCCCTGGAACTGGAGTTAGTGCTAATTGTGAGCTGCCATGTGGGTGCTGAGAACCAAACCCAGATCCTCTGCAAGAGCAGCAGGTGCTCGAATTGTTGGCCATCTCTCTAACCCCGTACCTTGTGGTTTGAGATGGTCTCTGGCTGGCCTGGAGCTCACTGATTAGTGTAGGCTGGCTAGGTAGCAAGCTCCAGACATCCACCTGTCTGCCTCCCCGAGCGCTAGGGTGACAAGCATGAGCCTCTGTGCTTGGCTTTTTCTCGTATGGATTCTGGGGATTGAACTCAGGTCCTCATGGTTGGTTGCATGGCAAGCACTTTATCAACTGATCTGTCTTCTCAGTCTCAATAATCAGATTTTAATTTTTATAAAAATTTAACTCAGGAGCAATATTCAATTCAGGAATACTCGAATTATTTTAGTCACTAGGGGGCAGTCATGTGTCTAAAGTGAGTATTTTAAACCTGTTAAAAAGGTGAGAAGACAATGCCAGTCAGTGTCAGGAGCAGGGATACATTTCTCTGAGTCTCACAATAGGCAACGTTTTAGGCTGAGATAACCTGAGGAAGACTTAGTTATAACTAAATCATTAGACTTGCTAAAAATCATTAGAACATGCTAAAAACATGTTCTAACCATCAGAACAAAGTAGGGAACTTGAAGTCATCAATGCATGCTCCTGCAGAACTCATCCCCTGGGACTCCATAGCAGTCTTAAAGTGGGGATCTGTCTATGGAGTGTAATGTGGTCATTAATACTAGTAACTAGCACTTTTTACATTATTGATAAAAACAGATTTTCTGTATTCTATAATATCCTTGAAATAGTTTATGAAGTTAATGTTCCATTTTATTGACATGGAAACTGATGTTATGTAATTTGTCCAGAGTTATCAGCTAATGTGCAATAGAGCTAGGATTCAAATATGAGCCTTCCTAGCTCCAAAACCCCTCCTCTGTCACAGTTATCTTACAGTATTCTCATTCCAATAGTAGTATTTTATTACTTAGAACTGTTCTGTAGAATGCTTACATTCAGATTGTCCTTATAGTTGTACATTTCCCTATTCTGTAACTGTGGTTTCCACACTTACCCATTACCTGACCCTCAGCTTTTTTCTTTTTTAAACTTAAATAATGGTCTTGCCATATAACCTAGTTTGGCTTTGACCTCAAGATTTTCTGTTTCAGCCCCTAAGTGTTGGGACTATGGATATATACTACTGTGCTTGGCTACCTGTCCTTTTTCTAAATGACATTCAGAGCTTGTCTTCAGAGTACCGAAGGTATAAGGATCAGTCTAAAGATCAAAAGGTAGAGCAAGGCACTGTGGTTTATTCAGAGACTGAGGCAGGAGGCAGGGAAATCAAAGTTAGCCTGGGCTGTCTAATAGCAAGACCCTATCTCAACCCTCCTAAAAGGAAAGTTTTGTGCAGGCTAAATAGAGAGTAAAGGGACAGCACATTTGGTTAATTGCTGATTTTTACTGTGACTTCAAAAGTAGCTTTGCACCTAGAGCATTTTTAAAAAAATATTTATTATTTTTATTTTATGTGTGTGTGTATTGCCTACATGTATGTAAGTGCACCCGTGTCGTGCAGTGCCCACAGAGCACAGAAGAGGTTGTTGGATCCCCTGGAACTGGAGTTATGGACAATTGTTAGCTGCCATGTGGGTGCTGGGATTCGAACCCAGGTCTTCTGCAAGAACAGTGTTCTTAACCGCTGAGCCATCTCTCTAGCCCTGCATCTAGAGCATTTTCACATTATTAACAGTCACTGATAGTCATGATGTTTGGTCTCTGTTGACAGAAGTAGGCAAGAGGAATTGTCGTTTATCACTCAGAGCCAAGGTTCTCAAACCACTCACGTTTTGTTAAAGACAGCTATAAGGAAAAAAGCCGTCCATTCACTTTCTCATTCCAAACCCACATGAGGTGGCAAAAAGAATGACTATCTTACAATGAAAGGGGTTGATCCTCAAGTCAGAAATCCTCCCCTCGGGTAATCAAGAGGTGGCCTTGATTTTACCAGGTCACATATGGAAGTAAGTACAAAAGTAATGACTGAAATAGGCCAATTTGTCTAGTACTTTGCATGTAGGGGCATTGTAAGACTACAATTTATGTGATACATGACTGCCACAGAAAGAATACCCATCTCAAACAATTTCAGCCTAATGTACTAGAAAATTGCTTAACAGAATTTTAGATTCTATTAAAAACATTTCCATATTGCTAAAATGCCACTTGTTTTTTTCTTCTGCAGCAAATCTTATATTAATGGGTAGAGCCTCACCATGGCCACCATTTATCTTGAAGACCTGACTTGTGTATTCATCTAGAAAAATAAGTCAGTAAATGCACACCGGTGCCTCTGAGGTAACCATGGGTTTTCATTTTGTGCTGAGCTATTAGTCATTTTTCTTTTATGTTCCTAGAGTATAATTCAGAGGCCAATTTACTCCCAAGAAAATTGCTATTAAATTACATCTATTAAGGATTTATATTAAAACATTCTTCCATGAGTAGATTGACACTGAGCAACTGTGCCACTGGGACGCCCCCTGCTTGCATCATTTCTTTAATAGCTCTGCCTAAGCAGAATGGGGGTGCCGCCGAGTTACTCATGGGTTACAGGGCCACACATGGGTGCCATCTCCAGAGTTCCAGATGGTTCATTCTTTGTTCTTTTCTTTCATTTCGATTGCAAAGAACAGAATTCTCAGCATCTTCAGAGCAATTTCGGGTTGGAGCACAATTAGTGGCTAGAAATCCCAGCTAATATGTATGTAACAAGATCAACAGGCCCACAAGCTGCTCCTTTCTACAGTGACTCTTAACTATAAATCACTGACCTTACAACCCTAGGCAAATTTTCCCTGTGATGTGATAGAAAATATCAGCATAAGAATGTTTGAGAGTTGAGTTATGTTTTTTAGTACCCAGATCATGAATATTTAAAGAAATAACATACTGAGTTGAGAGGCCATCCTCTCAGCGTCAGGGATTTGAGTCTGTGGAGCAGTTGTCAGATCTAGAAGTTTCCTCACTAAAATCCATTTATGTTCAATCAATCTGGCCAAACCTCAGGTTGTTAGGTAAACAATCTTTGGGCTATCTAAACATTTGGCAACATAGCAGAATATAATTTTTTTTTTTTTTCCTGCTGCTAGCCTCCTAAGTAGCTGTATATATGCCAAAATCTCAAGTTCCCTCATCCCTTATTAGCCTCATCCAGCCTGGTATGAGAAGCAAGGCTGATTTGATTTAGATCAGCTCTGGCTGTTTCTCTGTATTTGGCAATTGCCACTTCAAAAGCCAGATAGAACCAGGAGCAAAAGCCTGTGTCTGTACTCCCAGCTACTCAAGGAACTCAGGCAGGAGTATTATTTGAGCCCAGGAATTAGGGGCCAGCCTGGGCAACATCTTTAAAAAAAAAAAGCCAAATGAATATAGTTTGACATGGGGTTTGGAGCTTGGCCTCTAGTAGATCTTGGGATTGTTATGTGGAATCACTGACAAGTCACTCGCTGAGGTAGATAAGGGGTTAGAAAATAAGCCTAGCAAGAGTTTATACTAAGGAGCTTCTGGAAAGGCGCCTCTGAGGAAGGATATGGGAAAACTTGAGTTTGTTTCTGGCTTCCCTGGCTTCCATCAAATCCCTGATTTCTCACTTTCAGTTTCCTTTTCCTAGTAAAGAGGACTAAGCAAGTTGCAATTTCATGACCTTTGCAACTCAATTGGAATCTTCAATTCCAATTCATTTTCAGTCCAGCTCTTTAAGAGAGAAAAGCATTTGAATTCCCTTCAGGCTTCCCTGGAAGGCTGTACCGATGATCTGGTAACTGACACCCTACAGTGCATTTTTAGCTCTCTTCCCAGCCATCACCTGCAGGAATGCATTCAGTCTTCTCAGCTATCTTGCCTGCTGAGCTGTCCTAATCTCCGGTCTATAGATGAGGAAACTGAAGTAAAGTGAAGCCAGAGTGGGGGGTGGGGTGGAGCTGCCAGTAAACTCTGGAGCCAGTGAGAAACCTAGGAGTCAAACCTGTGACCAGTAGTTTCCTCCTCAGACTTAC